GATATCCGCTGGCTCCTTTGCGGAATTTATTTTTAATGAAGTGCCGCAAGCTCGCACCTAGTTGCGCTGGCGTCCGCCGCCGGTCGCGGAAAGAGAGCGCGCGAGCCCAATAGATTTACCCCTAGCTTACCGTTATTACCTTACGCCGTTGCTGCTGCCGAGCTGTCTTTCGGCTCTCCGCACTGCGAATCAATGTCACCTTTGTTTATCTCCTTTAATATCGATTCATGCTTGATGAAGCACCGCGTTATCAGTCATTGTTTCGCTCTCTCTCTCTCAAACAACGTACACTCGCGTCGCGAGATACGGACACGGTGTAAAATTTTCCCTGCAAGCGGAAGAACAAACACTTTTTATTTCGTGTCGCGTTATTTTAGTTCGTTCGCCTGACCAAAAGAGCAAAATACGAAGCATGAAAGGAGGTGACAACGTATAAAGCAAATCTAAAACTCGGCAAAGACGGGCGGCGTGCAATAAAAATCAGAATAAAGCAGAATAGGATTTGTCATAAAAAGAGAAAGCAGCAGCGGGGCCAACTGGCAGGCGTGCACGAGAAAGAATGGAGAGAGAGAGAGAGAGAGAGAGAGAGAGAGACAATGAGTGTGCGAGTGTGGGTAGTGAGAGAGCGAGAGAGAGAGATGTGCGTGGGGTCGTAGGTCTCTGGTGCGCACACGTCGGATAGACAGAGGGATGGTGGATAACATAATAATGGCGTCGCTGGCTAAGGAGGGGCGGGGCCACGAGGGGATCAATATAATCCTCCTCCATCCCTCCTGCTGCTACCGCTGCTGCTCCCACTCGCGTTCTGCCTCGCCACCTTCTCTACCGCCCAAGCACCCAGCCAGCGCTCCTCTTTATCTAACTTTCTCTCTTTCCTATAATTTCGCGAGCGGGAGGCAGGGGTAGAGAGAGAGAGAGAGCCTCTGCCCGGCGCACGCTTTTATACTCTCTTCTTCGATTACATTTTCCTTTTTTTACAACTCGCTGACCTTTGCTTCTGCCTGCGATATTTTTGTTCGTGAATTATACCAGACATTCTGAATTTTTTCTTCTTCTCGGTCGTTTTTTTGCACGATAAAAAAAAAAACGTTAATGCCCAACGTGCGACGGCGGTTTAGCAAGGTAGCGTTTAGAGCACAAAAGTTTCTGTAGGTAGTAATGAATTCTCAGTACAAGAAAAGAACTTTCTTTATGATGGATGATGTATTATTTCACTTGGGTATAGAATATTCATGATATCTTGCAATGTGTGGGAATGAGAAATAAAATTATTCAGTCTGTAGAGAGAGATTTGGTAATATTTAATGCCTATAAGACCATAAAGAGTTTTAAGCTCATCGAATATATACTCTCGACTATATACAAAATGACATCGATCTTAATAAATCATACAAACAATATCGGCATTAAATTCGCAACTCATAAATCAAACATGACGGAAAAAACAGATTAATTCTGAAATATTATCCATAAAATTTTACTGCATATATGCGTTGATCGATGAAAATGTCGCTTTTGGTTCTTCGAACGACGCGGCATTGACCGATGAAGTTTAATTATACGTATCAGTCTTTGTTGAGTCCAGCGTTTCATCAAAGACGGCACTACGGCTACTACTGGTCAGTTTACCATCACAAATCGGCTGATTGACTGGGATGCTAAGACACCCGGGATCACGTGGATGACTCTTGGCGGTTTAGGCGTAAGCCCGAGACTTCGACGACGACAATAGGGCTGACGCCTTATGTCAAACTACTGCTAAATTGATATTTTTAGTTGATTTCGATTGCTTAACTATTTCTCTTCGTAGATTTTGCTTGTGTGTATTAATTTCTTATAAATATTCATTCTTTCATTTATACTTTTGAAACAAATGATCAATTATATTTTATTTTCATATTACGATCCATACATTTCGGGCTTGAAGCTAAACTCGCGTAATTCTCTCATTCCATGACTTCATTTAATTGTCTTATCTTGTCATTGTAGAAAGGACGTTAGATTGCGCAAAATTTTTTTATAAAACTGAAAAGACATTTGTTGGATTATATCGAAGATTATAAATGAATGTACGGCCGACAACATGGGCATTACGAGAAACCGCGCCATTCCGAAATAAAAACGATGCCTACGGAAGTATGAAAGTTGAAGAAAGAAATGAAAGTTGTAGAACTGTTATCTAAGAAGAAAGAAAAGAAGCGCCAGAGGAAAAGAAAAGGAAAAGAAGAAGATACGAAAGAAAACGTGGGCGTGCGCGCGTGCGTGTGTGTAGGGAAAGAGGGTGGGGGTGAGTGATTGATGAGGCCTTCGGCCGCAGTCTCATTACAGTTATATAAGCTTCCGTAGATTGAGCCAAGAGAGAGAAAGAGAAGCTTACGCTACGGGCCGCTCGCCGTCGGTGAACGGGGGGTCGTGATTCGATGAGGTTTTATTGCTCGCTTGACGGGCTATTGTTTGGCTGGTGTGTCCGTGTGTGCCCGCGCTCCCGGAAAAACATTGGCTTCGATTCATCCGTACAGCGCGCAGCACGCACGCACGCACGCCCCCTCCCCCTCCTCTCGCACGCTCCTCTATATGTACCAGCCCACTTATTATTACGTTACACGCTTTTACAAGTATCATATCGCCATACTATCGCTTCTCTCCTATGACTTGGCGCATATACGTCTTCTCAAGTTTTTGCTTCTTTTTGATTAATGTCTTCGTCGAAAGATAATCTAGTGTTTTGAAAGCCCACATCTTAGATTTCCCTACACGTGTACTACATCATCATATTTATCGCATTAATGGAATGTTCGTTACGTTGCGAAGCACACAAGTTAGAAATAATCAATTCGATTCTATATAGAAAAAAGTACTGTGATGAAAATTTGATCGGAAGGGATTGATTGCACTCGACGATGCTTCAAGTGCATATAAAGCTTACAACATGGCGCGGTCTCATTGCTCGCTAAAATCACATCCGGCCATGACCATCAGTTTTATGAAGTCAATCAAGACGGCGTATATCTCGGCACGCGAGCGCTTAGCCGAGTGAAATAGCACGATAAACGGGCAGGCGAGAGTGACAGAGATGAAACGAGCCATCAGTTCGGGCGCGCTGAAAGGCAAGCCGGAATCGGTCGTCGTAATCTCGAGCCGCTATCTAGCCGATATACCGCGCATTGCAACGTCGCTCGCCACGTCAAGCGCTCGTCCGCGCTCGCCCGTTTCTCGTCGCGTGCTTTTCTTCTTTTTCACTTGCTTTTTTCCTTTTTCTCTTCGAATTCCGCCAATCGGCTTGATTATCATTCGTTTGGTTTACTGCTATTGCATTGCTGCGCGCGCGTGAATTTGCCAAGGCGGGCGCGGCCGCGTCCGCGAGGATTCGAAAGTTCATTCATCACGTTTACGATCTCGAGGTGCGCGGAGATTTCGCGCTAGATGTCGTTAAACTTTACGGTCCTGGTCCTCGTCCGTATGTCACTACGACTGCCGCTGCTACCACGGCGCGCTGCCTTCCTTTTCGTGACAATGCGAATCTCTCTCGCCGACGTCGCTGCCGCTGCTGCTGCCGTGCTATTGGTTTTACGGAAATGCGCGGAGTCTTAAAGTTTCACTGAGTATATAATTTTCCATTTTTATGCGTTTGTTTTTTCTCTTGTTTGCCGACACGATTGCGATGTTAGTTAAGTTTTTTTCCCTCAGAACTCATTCGCGGTCAGCTGAAGGTTGAAGGTTAAGTTGCGCCTGACTACAGGATGTCCTGTTTCACTGAAGCGCCATCGAGTGAGTTTATCGATCAGCCGTTGCTCGATCAAAGACCAAATGTAAGATTCGTACATGCTTGGGCGGTCGTGCTCATTCGTCAGCTGGCGATAACAGCCGAATGTAGAGCATAGCTGCACACGCAGAGCGAGCGGCGTAGCGGCAGCTCCCCGCCAAAAGTTAGGTCATATTACTCTTCATTAGAAGCGCGGGCGGGATAGGAGGCACCCTCTTTCAATGACTCGTCGTGGCGCTTAGCGATCGCTCGGCCATCCATCTTGCAAGGATTCCTTCTTTCCTTCGCGGCACTGGCGGTCCCAAGTAATACCCCATTGGCTTCGCCCGAGCTCACTGCTGCTGCTGCTGCTGCTGCTGCTGTCGTTGTCGCTGTCGCCTCGCTTAGACTCGACAGTCGCGCCGCAAGGAGGAACGAGCGAGCGCAGCCGGCCGTGTAATTGCTCCTCGGAACGAGTGCGCCTCTTTTTGCTATACCGTGCCGCGACTTTTGCGGGATGAGCGACGGCGCACTGCGATATTCTCTCTTGCTTCGTTCGAATCTGAATGATTGCCAAATCACTTCGCAAGCTAGATGCAGCCGTGTCGTTATCACATAAAAATTGGCTTTCTCGAGCGCGCGAGGATAAAAGCGACTGTAGTAATAGCACAGAAATCGTTTTTCCGAGAGATGTAAAGAAAAGAAAGAGACGGCAGCTAGTGTTCGCCGGCGTAGAGGGGTATCGAGCGCGTTTCAGCCTCGCTTGCCGCCTTGAATTAACGCCGTCATATTTCAGGAGCGCTGCGAAGCGCAAGCTCGGCTTCTGGGTTTCCCTCCGTGCCATTTGTCTCTGAGAGCCGCCGCCACCGCCGCAGCCCGCACAAGCGCTTTCACTATGACTAATACGCCGCGAAGACGATACATATAAATCTGCGGACTGAGAAAGAGGTCGCGCGGCGCAATTTTCAAACGCCCAGCCAAGAAGAATTTTTTAATCAGAGACCTCCTATCTCCCTCTTTCGCTCTCGTCAACGCAAAATTGCCTGCGTCAAGCTATAATTCGCGAGCCTTTTTTCTGATGTGGATTCATTTCACCGTTGCACCTCTCACGTCCCCGACTATTTATTATTTCGATTTACATTACACATGAATCATACGATAGAAGCTGGTTTTCGGTTCCTTCCTCTCATTAATATTTCATCGTCGCAACGATTTGAGCTGCGTGGAAGGAGCTACAATAACCGAACGATGTTTGCAGGTGTGGTTCAAAAATCGACGGGCGAAATGGCGAAAGCGCGAGCGCAACTCCCTGAACGCGCTGAACGCCGCGGCAGCGGCAGCGGAGAACTTCAAGGCCGGCTTCAACCCAGCCGGGCTGAACGGTTTCATCGCCCAGCCGTTCGCCGACCCCTACCAGTACAGCACCTACAACAACTGGGCGTCCAAGGTGCCGTCACCGCTCGACAGCAAAAGCTTCAGCTGGCCGGTGAATCCTCTGAGCAGCGTGGTGCAGTCGGCGGCATCGACGGGCCACCATCCGCATCACCCGCAGGTCAGCCCGGTGAGCTGCTTCAACTCGAGCTCGCTGTCGGGCGGTCACGTAGGTGGTATGTCCGTCGGCCAAGCGGCCACGGCCATGATCCCGAGCATGGGTGTCGCCGGCTCGCCCGTCGCTGCCACCGGCGCCGCCTGCCACTACGCCAGTCCCGCGGCGCCGCATCACCCCTACGCGCCGCCGGTCTACCACCGGACCACCACGCCATCGGACATCGCCATGTCCACGAGCATCGCCACGCTCAGGCTCAAGGCCAAGCAGCACTCGAGCAACTACTCCAGCTTCGGCTCCAGTCCGGCCAACAACAACAATGGCCCGGCGGCCAACAACAACACCGGCGGCGGCGGCGGCGGCGGCGGCAGTGCACCCGGGAGCATCAGTCCCGTGAGCTCGAGAGCCTCATCCGTCGGCGGATTGAGCGCCTGCCAGTACGCGTTGGCCCAGGCTGGCGGCGCCAATCCTCACTCGCCGAGTGCCGAGAGTAGAACTCAAGTTTGAGGCGAGGCGGGGGCGGCTTCGAGCAGCCCCCAACAGCAGTCGCAACAACAGCAACAGCAGCAGCAGCAGCAGCAGCAGCAGCAGAGCATGCCTGGAGTACAGCTGGGCGAGCAAACGCCGCAGAAGACCGAGTGACACAGGCCGACGTCCGTCGTGGGCTCGCCCGCGCTTTCGTCGACGCCCTCCTCGATGGCATCGCCAAGCAACTATCTGTTCGAGGACGACAACACCACGACGGACTGCAAGGAGGAGCCACAGCAGCAACCGAGCGAGAGGCTCGCGCCGGCCACCGTCGGACTTGCCGGTTACCTCCATCACTCGGCCGCTGCCGCCTCGGCTGGCTACTGGCCGCCGCTCATCTACGACTGGTCCGATCCCAACAGAGACGACAACTCGCATCGCGGTTAAATCGCATTGTTTTCATTTTTCTTCCTTTCTTTCTTTCTTTTTACGCTTTTCTTTTTTCTCCTATCTTTTTATTACTTTTCACTTTTGTTACTTCACGTATAATGAGGTTTGTATCATACGCGTCGCGCAGTGTTTTACTCTTTCCTTGTCGCTTCGATAGACAAACTCAGAGAAGTTAGAAGCAAAGTTATGTGCGCGCTCGGTCGTTATACATATTCAGTGAATAAATAGACTTAGACATTCACAAGTACGGAGTGATATATAAAAAGTGTGTGAGATTGTAAATGACTTTACCGTACTTTATACAGAAACTGATTAATCATTATGTATTATTTTATACGTTGTACAAAATTTGCTTTTTAATTTGTGAATAATCGTGCCATTAATAAATTAGTCACGGTGAGAAAGAGAGAGAAAGAGAGAGAAAGAGAGGAGGGGTGCGAGAAGAGTTCACGTTTGAGGCTACACTCGAATCGAGTTGAATCTGTTTTTACGGTACTTTCATATAATCGCTATAATATTGTTTGACGTGTTGCCAAATCTTTCTTAGTCACTGAAAAACTACGCGAAATAACTGCGTATAGTAACAGTTAAAAAACGACGAATTGAAAAAAATACGAGTTTTATTTATACAACACTAAGGTGAAATCGTGCGTGGATCAGATGCTGATTGATGAATCACGACAGATCCAATTTACTCACTATTCTGTAGATATCTGTATAGTAGACGTTCGTTCGTAATCGAGGCAATGGATGTATACCAGAAACTTGTTACGTTCGCGATTTATTATAAATAATTCAAAGTGAATTAACAATGAAAAAAATGATGATAATAATAAGGGAGAATAGCTATATGATAAACTTATGGAGTTTGGCAGATACCAAAAATTCTTAGCTAGTAAGAATGAGAAAAGACGTCGTTTACAATAAGGATTTTAAGGCTTAAAAACTCGAGGAAGAGTGCGGAGTGATATACAAATTGATTTTGTTTCGCGCACGCTATCCATATTGTATTGGGCGTCGTGCGAGCAAATGTGTACAGTGAATGGAAGCACGGGTTACTATTGCCGATTAGACCTGCGCTATAAATACATTTATTAATATCAGTGAATTATAGTTGTATACAGTAATCGGTATCCGTAAAAGTTCAACCTCGCGCGACTTTATTAATTCTTCCGCAGTGTTGTTCTTAGTTTGTCTTATCGCTTGCGCGCGCATTCGAGCCTTATTTACGTATCGTGGAATTGCTGATATTTTCGTTTGTTAGCCACGGACAATTGGCGAGGCAATAAAGCAGTGCAAAGTGTGTCATGTGAGATGTACAAGTTATACTATAATCACAGTTGTTTTTATCAAAAGTCGACGCGAGGTCGCAATGCCATAGGTTGAATTTTAAATAGTTACGTAAGTCTTAGGGATTAAGGAACAACCAATATTTTGTATGGACCCCGATGTCATATGATGAAAAAACACAAAAAAAAAACGAATAACGAAATAAACTCTCGAACTACATATCCCGAATCCACGATCCGATCAACGAGATGAAAATAATTGAAAATTGTCATCTTCCAGTAATACAGTGACATCTCGAGTCGCTTAACTAAGTGTACACGTTCCTAATCGACGTGCGTCTGGCGTCGAGAGGCACATTTGTAATCTAGTCACAATAAAACCAATTCTATTCTAGCTCGCTGTGTTGTACTTTTTCCAACGTCACCCGTGCAGTTTCATTCGTTCTTTTGCAGCTGCAATTATCGCTTGAAAAAAAAAGAGGAAGGAGAGAAGGCGAGGATGTCATTTATTCAAAGCATATCGTAATGAAAGTCTCAGCATGACTAAAACGTAAGGTAAACAAGGAGCCCGAGAACGAACTCTGAAAAGTCATAGCAGTGCCGTTGATTGTCGAGACAGCAAGTGACAAGCGCTTGGAAATCGATTAAAGTGCAATAATCCCATTGTGCGGATATATAGAATAAAAGTGCGGACGCCCATGTATAAGGAAACACACAGAACGAGGGGGACACGCATGTCCTATCGCGCGTGTAATGCATCGCATCGTCTAGCAACGCACGCATAGCTGCGAGCGCGCGCTTGTACGTGTGGTGGAAGGCTGGGGTCCGCGATAAATTATGCACCCCCGTCGCGCGCGAGCGAACGAAAGGGCGAGCGGCGGCGCCACCGCCGGCACCGCGGCATTATGTATGTGCGCAAAGTAAACGCGCGGCGAGTGCCTTTATTACAATATCGTTGCGCGTTAATGTTATACCTATTACGGGATATTATGGTCGCCGTATGTTGCTCGTTACTCACCCAGACGCGCTCGAGTCGCGAGCTGCTTGCGCCCTATACTCGCTCGTACGATGAATGCCGAATTTCTAATTCATAATACCGACCTTGCCGTCCTATGTATATATCTTGCGCGTATGTACTTTGGGCTGGGCTTTTAATTGCTTTTTTTCTCGCGGCTTGACGTGTATTAATTGTCGCTTTGCTCGCTCGGGAATCAACTGCGGTTTTTGCATAGCAGCCGGTAAGTATTCATCGGTTTACTATGGGAAGTAGTATTTCGAGAAAAAGGACATTGGAATCGTGAAATATATTTTCCAGCGGGAGGCGCATCTGCGACTCATCGCGGGCGGACACAGAACAATTTGAAGAAGATAAAACGCACAAGATGGCAATTAACATTAAACGCGCACGACCTATGAGACAGGCAATAAAGATATCTCATTCCTCTTTCGTATCTGCGCTAACATCTTCGGGACTCGGAATCTTATCTACGATGAGACTGTCGCTCCTCTGAGCGCGCCTCTCATTCTTCGGCCACGCGAACAATACTTTCCAACACCGTCGAAAACCATGCCGCGTACCGACGATCGCTTTGTAACAATTTTTTTACTTCCTGGTGATTCACGCAAATAACATTGACTGTGCTGATAGAAGCCAATGTTATTTATATCAATCTCCTGAGAATCATTGTTTGAACGTATGTTTGTCTGCCATTGTCAAACTGGCGCAAGGTCAAACGTCATTTTTTTGTTAAGTTGATTGATGACCAACAGAAAAGTTGTACTTTTATTAGCATCAATTTGAAAAATGTGTTGCCTTGACAAATTGTTTTGCTTGAATATAACATATTTTCGGGTGCACCTGTTTGTCACACCTAAGCATTCAGAATGATATTTCATAATTATTTCCAAAACAATAAGTGTACTCGTGAACACAATTTAAAAAGAAAGGGCTAACTCTTTTAGCGCTAAACGTAAAATGAAATTCGTTAGCGATGAGGAAAAACAAAGACTCGCAGTTAGCAAAGTGTTTTTGCTTGTCGCTTTTGCGCCCAGCACAGAAATGAAGCGCGCGTTGTTGAGCGAGAGAGAGAGAGAGAGAGAGAGAGAGAGAGAGAGAGCTGGATATACATTTACAAAGCCAGCGTTGATTGCTCAGTTGGGCTGGCCGTGCGCACATAGTCGGTGGCGCTTTGCGCGCAGTCAGGCACCCAGCCGATTGTCTATGCAAATGGCAATCAGCGAGAGTGCGGTGCTCGGTTGTTCGCTTTCCTATGCATACAAGGATCAAGATCTCGCCCTCTGTTTCTCTGCCTGCACGTTGCTGTATTATACATCGGCACCTCTCTCTCTCTCTCTCTCTTCTCACGCCTATCGCTAATCTCTGTTTACCTTTTTTTTTGGGCCGGGTTTTATTGCGTGCCCTCTTTTTTCGACCCTGTTTCCGTCTGCTCGTATGCGCTTGTCCGTGTGTATCCGAGCAACTTTCCGTTTCGTATTGTTTGAACAACAGCCATACTAGCAGGCTAAAAAACAATTAGCGGCGCAGCTACGTCCAGCCGCGAGAGATTGCCGAGAGGTCTAAATATACGGGGACGTCGGCGTAATTCGCGAGCGCGGGCAAGAATTTAGGCAGATAAAAAGAGAGCGTGCGTCGTTTGCTCGCGGCGCGGCGTGCGCGGCATGATTCAACGCTCTGTCAGGCTGCACCTGCAGGCCACTTTGAAGTAAGGTAGAGAGAGGTAATCCCCCTCCGTGCGCGCTCGAGAGAGAGAGAGAGAGAGAGAGAGAGAGAGAGAGAGAGAGAGAGAGAGAGAGAGAGAGAGAGAGAGAGAGAGAGAGAGAGAGAGAGAGCGAGTGCAAGCGTGAGCAAGCGACGGCCCGCACTAAGCCTCCATGATTTAGAATCTTGTGCGCGAGTATTTTAAGAATCCCCCGTATGCTGCTGCACACTCGCACACGTGCGCTGCCTCTCTCTCTCTCTCCCTCTCTCATTTTTCGTTCGATAGTCAAAATTCCGTCAGTGCCACTTGTCGCGCGCAATTCTCATGGACTCTACGTCGGAATTGAATAGTTCTGCTTGTGATGTATACCTTCGCGCGGAATGGCCGTCGTTAAAATATAGCGTAACGACGCCCCGCAGTGGATCAATGACGGAACCGAGTGGAGAGCAGGGGAAAAGGAAGAAAAAAAAAAACATTGCAGATCCGCAGGTATTCGGTAAGGTCGTGCAAGTGTTTACGAGGGAATGCACTCTAGCGCTAATCGCGCCCGTGAAACGGAAACAAGAAACTTAACGAGCGTATACGACGTAAAATCGCGCGTCTGGCCCCCTTTGAGAGCTTAAAGCGCGCTCATCGGCATAAAAGTGGCAGCGGCGGGACGGCTCGGGTGATTAGTCCTCTCCGCGCGCCTTTTTAAAAGCCAAATCCTCGTTGCGTCGCTTATGCGCGCGGCCGGGGGAAATGATTGTCGTCCTCGTAAAAGCCGCGCATTCGCAAATGAAGAAGAAGGATTCGTCCGATTCTCTAAGAGCGCGGCAAAGCCCTCAATTTCACTGGAGTATGAGAGCACCTCGCCTCTCCCTCTCTAGCTCTCTCGCTCTCTCGCTGTCTCTCTCCCACGCCCATCCTGCCTTTTTTTCGCTCGCTTGCTCGCGGGGCGCGCCCATAAAAGGACTTCTTATTCTCGCGTTTATATTCAATCTAGCCGCGAGAGAGGACGGCGTCCCATCTGAAACGCGTTAGCTCCTCTTCTTTTCTTTCTTCTTCTTATATTTTTCGCGTGCGCGCGAGCGTGAAAAAAAAAATGAATTTGCCTGTAAAATTAGGTAAAAGACTTGCGCTGCAGGGGTAAAGAGGAAAAATTACAATCAGATTTTCAGTAAAACGGCCGTTCTTATCGTAGCCGAGTATCGACAAGCTTTCGAAATATCTCGCAATATATCCCGCATGAAAACAATGCGCCTTCGTCGAATTTTTACTGATTCCGGTAACCGAACCGAGACGAGTCCGTTTTATGACACTGCTACGTAGTGTTTGCTTAGACATAAAAGATAAAATGACGCTCGTGAAAGAAGCCGATAAAACTCTGATAATGCGACTGGGAATTACAGAACTGTTTTTGGAGTAATACGTTTCAATTTCCTCAATTTAATTTTTTTACATAAATATTGTTATACAGATGCTAATTATAAATTTCATTTCCCAAAAAATGTACCTTAGTTTTGTAAAGAAAAGGAACCAAAACATACTCGAAAGGAAAACGTTCATTCTAGTTCAACCATCTTTCTGCTATCGATAATTTTTCGGTCAGTCATTCAATTGCTATCCAAATTGAAAAGCGATTAATTTTGAAATTATTCACATAGGCAGAAAATAATAGCAAACTGAGTATACGATATTGTACGCATAAAACAAAGGATACGCGAAAACGGGAGAAAAACCCGCAAGACAACGTATAATGTGGTAATTTTGGTGATCCCAAGTAGGGGACACTTATGTATCTATTCATGGATCACCGGCGCAGAACTTCACACGACAAAGAGTATATAAAACCAATGCAAAGTGTTAATGCATTTGCTTAATGTCAACGTGCCGTTGTAGACTTATAAAGGCAAATCCGAGTAAGCTTTCTCAATTTATGTGACACGTTACCTTCACGTGCAGCTTGGATTCGTTTTAAATAATCGATCATTTACAACATTTGATTAGGTGAATTGTAAATATGCATTCAATTTTCGTTAAATGATGATTCCTTCAGGTATAACATCAATAAAAGAAAATTGGAAGTATGAAGTATGAATGATTTTCTAACGCGTTTTGGAGTAACAATTAGAATCTTTTAAGCAATCCCAACGTAAAAGTCTATCTTCACCAAATTCGTATTACTATCGATTTTGGAGCTATGTAAGATCACGTAGATTGTACAGCTAATATTAGAAAATTGTAATTTAAAATTCTTACTATTGATTTGGGTGTTATTTTTCACTGACTGATCGATCGATTCGATAAGCTTTCAGCGACTGATGAAAATAATGCAGAGGATCGATTATGTGCACAATGAACTTGAAACGAAAGGGTGTAATCTTCATGAGCTTGAGTCATGCAGCTGCGGGCAATAATCGTGGAAATCATATGAGAAATCACGTAGGTCGAATCGCTGGAGCTCATTTGAGTCGGGATGAGCTCGAGGCGGTGGCGGCGGCCAGACGAAGAAAAAGAGAGGAAAAGGGGTTTATCAAGGAAAGAGAGCGAAAAGGAAAAGGAAAAATGCCTCTCGCGCGGAGAAAGAGCAAGTCGCGCATCAGTATTCTCTCCTTAGCCTCCTCTAACCCTCGCTCGTTGAATCTAATTACGCTGCGCGACGACGAGCAGAAGCTCCA